AAAACACAGTGATTTCGACGCCGGAGTTAAGAACTGGACAAGCGCAGCGATTTGGACGCCACATTGTCAGGACCTGGAAAGCGCGATGATTTGGGCGGAAGAGAAGATTGACCTTCATATGTCAAGTGTTAGTGTTCCTTGACAGCGGGTGCAAAGACATAGGCACAGACGCAAAAGACACAAGTGTACCGTACCAAGGAGACACACACTCTTCAACAGCAAGCAGCATATGCAATGGGCAAAGATGTTTGAGAACAAGGTGAAGGCGATATGTTAAACCAATATTTCTGGCATGGGGAGGTGTACAAATCCAAACAGTTGAGACAGTACTGGGTTTCTGACGTGTTGGGAGAAACAAATGACACGAACGTGTCATTTGTTTCTCCCAACACGTCAGAAACCCAGTACCGTAGGTGGACGAATTATTCAAACCCTTGCAGACTTCACCCCCCTACCCCCCATAGTTCAATGTTGGCCTGTTGGTGAAGGAGGTTGGCTTGAGTGGACGAATCAAATCAAACCCCTGACAACAAAACATCTTTTCACTGAGACAACATTGAAATCGGGGGTGCGGGGGTGGTGGTCTGCTATGGTGGTTTAGGGTTTGATTAATTTGTCCATCTACTGTAGTAAAATCCCTGAAATATCATGTGCTCATCTCTGCCCTACCATGAAAGCACCCCAAAGAACACCAACCCAACTGCGCCACAGGATCCAAGTCATCAAGCTGCGCCTGCTTGCGATGCGGGGGTCGTCGGGCCTCTCGGCCACCGTTAAGCCTGAAGCGAGCAAATCAAGGTCGTCACCGTCGAGCAAAATGTCTCCTGCGACTTCGACTTGTAGAGCCCTCTTCGACTTGTGGAGCCCTTCAAGGGCCTTCCCGGGTGAACAAAAGATAGTTCTCCAGACAGACCAACTGCTACCAACAAGCAGTTGGTCAAAAGAAACAAGCACACCAACATACAGTGTTGGCAAGTCACGGATCATAATTTGAAGGTGTTCTTAAAAAGGAAATGCAAATCAGGACCGTTCAGATTCGTGAGCTGCTCAACCCTCATTCATCAAGCTCCAAGCTCCTGTGATCCAGTTGATAGGCTTCGTCATTTGCGTGACCAGTCTTGTTGAGAGAATCCCAGGCGCAAGCACCATGGCTCTGGACCCCACAGACCTGCCAATATGTTTGAAGAGTTCCAGCGCAGTTGGTGCATCAGGACCACAAGCATCCACCTCTTCATTGGGAGGGGTGGAGCCTGATGGATAGTCTAACTGTCCAAGTTCCAGAAGAAGTTGGGCCATATCTCTCACATGGATTGGCTGAAATCGTTGTTGCCCATCACCCGCCAGCAAAAAGAGTGGACTTCGCCGCAAAACCCAGGCGGCGTTATTCATCAAAATCGACTCCTGCGCCGTGTCCCCGAAGATGCCACAAGGCCGCGCTACGGCGTAGGACACGTCCAAGCTCCGGAGCGCCTCGACTGCTTGGGCCTTGCCAGCGATGTAGCTGAAGGGCGAATCCACTGTGGAGTGCGTGTGCGAGGTGAACACGATGCGCTGCACACCAGCTTGCCGAGCCACTTCGAAGAGACGAGCACAGCGCTGGGCGGCGGCGGCGAAGGTGTCGCCGCGCTCGAAGCGGATCCAATAGGTGCACCAAAGAACGGAAGAGCCTTCCAAAGCCTTTCCCAAAAGCCTGGTTGGAGTTACACAAACTAAAACTATCTGCCCAATGGCCAAGCAGTGAATTGAGATGATCATTCCCCAAATCTAGATGGACAAACTCAAAATCATTCAAACCCAAGAGCAGTTCGTTGGAAAAATCCAAGGGATAGGTGCTGATCCTCTGCGCTTCTTCACTGCTGAGGCCGGATGATGCAATGGGTGTGGAACGACTCGAAAGATTCACCACGGAATGGCCTTTCTCCAGCAGAAGCTTCGATAAATAGCGTCCCGTGTAGCTGAACGCACCTGTCACAGCCACCCGCTTCATGGCTCTGCGGAGTGATGAATGTGGTTACTCCGGCGAAGTTTATCATGGAACGTGGCTCCAACTCTCAGTGCTCATTAACATGGCCCACCTGCTCGTTAGAAGTCCCGGGGAATATGGAAAGCACCGGTATGAGAGGAAAAGGTGATTCCGGAGACTAACGTAGAACACAAGGCCGGAATGAAGATTGGTGCACTAGAAATGCAGCACCCTTGAGATGCTAATAGATGCTAACATGGAATACGTCAGAAGTAGCCAAGATCCAGGGAATCCAGTATCTGGAAATGATCCATGTTAGCCTCACCGTGTTCCATGCACCTGCCAAACTCAGTGTGTCCACACTAACATGGCCCGCTCCCGGGACTGTTTCACAAATAGGGCACCTCACACTAACATGCCACATGAACAATGATCGGCTGGCCTTTTTCATTTCCCGGAATGCTGTATGTCTTTGTTCTCTTCGTTCTGGTGGCTGATGGTTCATACTGTGTGACAGGAAATGCAGTATGCAAACAATTTGGAACCAAATGATCTTTTTTTGCAATGATCAGCCACCACGTGGACCTTAGCTTAGCTGTCAACTGAAACCTTGCCCTGAGTCCAAGGAAAAGTAACATACTGTACTGTAGTTTACTGTAGTGCTTAAATGAACCAAAGGACAAATTGCTCCACTAGAACCTTAACCTAGAACACAAAACTCAGGCGACCAGGCAGCGACACTAACATAGCATGTGCAAGATCGAACCAAAAACCTTCCACTCTGATCCATGTTAGTCTCAATGTGCAACATACACCAGGGAAATTCTCCAAGCATGTTTCCCCCAGTGTGTCCATACTAACATGGCCCGCTCTCAGGGCTGTTTCACAAATAGGGCACCTCACGCTAACATACCACACAGATTTTTTTTTTTATTTTGATGATGTTAAACTTCGCGGGTGTATGCCCTAGGGATCCAGCCGTACCTTCTTCTCAGAAGGTGCTTGGACCCTCCAAACCTACATAACAGTGTCTCCAATCACCGTACCTGATCCCTAGGGATGGTGTGATTGACTGGGTTATTGCATTGGACTCCAATTGGACACGATGCTGGACGTGAAGTTCCGAAAACATGTCTGCTCACGGACCTTCTTGTTGCCAGCCAACAAGTTACTTTAATAACTTGTGCATATCACCGCACTGTGAGGCATGAGTGGTACTAGTAGCCTTCACCTCGCAACCAACCTGATTGCCAATTCATTGCCGAGGTCTAAATTGATGGATGCTAATTACCGGATTCATCCAGTGTTGCCTGTTTTTTGCCGTCCCTCACCAGCTTCTAGGGGCCAAACCATACGTGTTCACCAGTTTGTGATGGTGATATGTCGAAAAAGCACCCGTTCACGCGACGCAGGATACATCTGCACCCCCAGCATGGAACCAAACGCGGGTTGGAATGCTGAGCTGACAGGCAAATATCGGCACCACCTGCTGACAGGTAATGACATATGATCCATCTGTGGACATATGTGGCCTTTGTTGTGGAAACCATAGCTCAGGGAGACCTCCCAAACAACTCCTGGAAAAAGCACAAAAATAGACTCAAATAGACCAAACCCTATGTTGGAGTTCTCTGTCTTTATGGTTTGCAGATGTGTGCATCCATTGCAATATTCGTGCAACACCCCTGCTTTGCCCTCCTGTCTGACAGGTTGCTGCTTACATTCAACATTCATTCCTCTGCCTCTTCAACTCTACAGTCGGCTTCTAAAATTTGCACTGGACGTGCCAGCATAATCTCCATCAACTATGCTTGTAGCGGTAAGGCTGTAAGGTAACTTGCAGACTAAGCTCTTACATGACCATGCCTTCTAAGGACGCTACTACGGGCTCCTGGCATCGCTACTAGGAGCAAGGACGCTAGTGAAGTTTAAACCCTTTTGGTCCAGGGAGCATCCCGAGACCGCCACCCTTCCTGGTCTGGGCCTCCGTGCTCCGCCTTCCTTCGTTTGGTCTCACTCTCACGCACTGCCACCTGGACGCTGGAAGGTGTCACTGGAAGGTTCAGGATCCACGCAACATGACTCACTTATGCTTGAAGGTCTCCCCGCAACGTGACTGAAATACTCTGAAATGTTCATTGAATGTTGTTGATATCGGAGGAGCCTGATACAAACCCAGGAGCCTTATCCGACCAAGCAAACACTTCAAAGGCCCAAAGGCTCCGGCGATCGGCGGCAAGGGCGGAAAGACCTCAGATTTGGTGCCTGGATCCATCATGATCCATCCTTTTGTAATTTTTTGTTGCCAACTGCTGCACTCCAAAGTGTTCTACTCCAATAGGCCATTGCATGCCAATTGCCCCATCCAGAACTCAAGAATCTCCCAACATCTCGTAAAGAGCCACATTCTGTTAAGATTCCAATCATGAGGGGAACACAATTAGTGAGAGTCGTTCCTCAAGCACCCAAATATGTAAACAAATCCCGGAAGCTCCTGGTGGAGAAAGGCAGTGATCTGAAACAGGAAATGGTGTGTACATGCCTTTGTTCCAGCGTTTGGCTCTGTAGCCAAGTTTGGGCAATGCTGACCTGCCAATGCCATCCAAGCGGCGGGTGCTTCTGCTTTCACTTCAAGTGAAGCCTCCAAACAGTTTGAAAGCGATCATACTATCGCAACAAGTGCTTGGGTACAAGAATCTGTGCAAAAATAATCTTTGGGGGACCTTGGGTGATCTCGGCGGGCTTTGAACCTGGGGTAAATATGGCCAGAAAAAGAACATGATGAGTCAAGGTCATGACATGAGTCATGAGTTTGTTGCCGATCATTCCCGTGGATTCAATGTACTGCAAAATGGGTTGGGATTGGTGTCAACCGATTGTACACCCTCCCCAGTTGATAAGGGAACCTCTCAAAGCCAGCTCTAGGTCCGATTTGGGATGGACCTGCACCGTTGAATGGTCTGAAAATGGTGCAGCAAACATCTACAAATGGCGCAACATTGACGACCACCTGTCTCCTAGGAAAATCCCAAATGATACAACCCATATCTTATTTCAGACACTTTAGCGAAGGAGAGCAAATCAATATATAGATTCAACATGCCAAACAACCCAAAGATCCATCAGCAAACGCAGCCACAACCCAGGCGCCGGTGGCTGCATGAGGTTTTGAAAGCTGCTGTCAAAGTAGGACGCATCCAATTCGACCTGGCCAAAGGGCAAGCAGCCCCAAGATAGCCCAAACTGGGTGGTTTGCGCCATAAAACAAAAACAACGCAGCCAAAGCGATGCAACATATGTATAGATTTCCGTGTCAAAAACGGTTCTTAATACATTGTGCGTGATTGTATGGCATTGGATCCACACATGGACCTCAAGAAATAGCAAGACAAGAACAGCAGGACGGCAGGACTCATTCAAGTCTGTTGGAGATCTACCACAACATGTCAAGAAACACGTTTCCGAAGATCCGAGGCAAGTTACCAAATCCACGCACACGACACCGCAAGTGTCTTCATGGGCCACGAGGGGAAGTGGACGTCGTACTGGACCATTTCGGAACAAAATTATGTGAAACAGACATGAATCATGAACAGAGGCACCATGAAAGAACAAAACACGGTCAGGGAGAACAGCGCAACGCATTGCAGGACTAGTCCTATCATGGTAGGATCATTGCGCCAGCAGCGGCAGGATTGAGACCTCCGATTGGTTCAAGGCATGTTGAATGATATACTGGATATGGATGGATATGGGTATGGGTGTGCAGTGCAGGATGAATGAGGAGACCCCCCAACCAAGACCTCTTGGGACCCGAAGGAACATTGACCAGTCAAACCAACCCACCAAAACCCACTGGGCCCCTACTTAACTTGAACCCCTGTAGGCCCTGTAGCTCGAATTGGCGCACTAAATTTAGTAGAACGATGTGACGCAAAACGCACGCTCGCGAAACTGGCGCGAGTGACGCAAGTGTGAACCCCCCGGGGATGGACGCACCTGCTTGGGCTGCTCCAAGCGATAGAGGATCTCCTGGACCGGGCAGCCGAAGCGCATGTGGCAACATGTCTTCCACCACTGGGCCATGAAAGTCGGGTTTTGAGTTTAAGCGAGGCATAGAAAACAGATGGACAAACATTTAGTCACTTGACCCATCTGCAGAACTCTAACATGGCATCCTGGCACACCCGCTGCTGTCAGTCAGTCAAAACATGTGGGGGGCCTACGTGGGAATTTGTTCGGGCCATGTCATGTTGGCACTACTTTTGTTGAGAGAGGCTATCTTCAAACACAGGTGAACGCTTCCAGTGACAGACTCCAAAACTTGAAGGGCATGAAAGTCTGTCGTGACCGTGTCTTTGGCCCCTTGACATCCTTGACCGATCTTGGCTCAATCTTTTGGACGACCGTTTTTTAGGAATTCTTACAGATCTTAAGGGGCGGTGGCCTCAGACTATAGGACATGCCTAAACTAACTTGAGAAAGGGTAGTCTATCTATCTACCCCTCTTACTATCTACCTATTAATTGCCTTTCTGTTTGTTTATCTACCCTGCTATCTAGCAATCTACCAATCTGTATACCTATATTTGTCTATCTATCCGAAGAAGTTGCAGCCACTTAATTCAAAGGACATGTCCTGCACAATATATTTTGTCTACTTAACTGTCTAATTAATGTAACTATAGCTTGTATTATTTGTCTTCGTCTACCTATCCACTTTACTATCTACCTTTATGTTCTATCTATCAACCTATCTATTTATCTATTATATTATCTAGGCATCTATCCATCTAAATACCCATTTGTCTATCTATCTCTCTGTCTACCGATCTCTGTACATAGTTTCCATGGACCTAAGTAAGTAATCTTTCTGAAAAAGCACCCTGGGCACAATTCCTGGTAAAAATACATGTCCGAGGAAACATCTTGAGCTACGGATGATACACTCCGTCGGCATCAACCCATCCGAATCCATTCGGCAGATAGTATCCCATCTGCCGGGCGCATCACGCATACAGCAATGAAATAACTCGAGGATATATATACTATGACTCGAGCATACAGCAATGACAAAGCAACAAAACACTCGAACTCACGCCAAGCCTTCTTTGGTCAGCGAGTAAATACACCCTGCCAGGCGAGTAAACATGAAACCTTGCCGAATGTCTAGAAAGGTTCTAGTCCTGAAGACAATAGTCTAAACCCCAATCCTTGTCCCAACGCTCCGGCTGGGCCTTCTTGTTGGTGTCCTGGTCATATGCGTCCTGAAGACAATGATAGAAAGGCACTGGATGGCCAGGTGGCCCATGGGTCTCCTGGCTGATGTGGGCCCCCGCTCCAGTTGCTCGTCCTGTGTCAGATCAATTAGCAGCTGCTAGCACGCATAATGACCACAAACGTATGGCAGCTCCTTGCCCCAGCCATGATCCCAAGAACTGCCATGGCCATCCCGCAATTTCTCATCCCAGGTCGAGCGGGAATGGTCATCGTCCTGCGAGACTGGCCCAATGCATGCAATGAACATCAATGAACGCACTACACCACAAAGACCAATTGCACTTGATGAAGCAGCTGTCCCAGTCCTTGTTGTCCCAGGATTTATGATTTGTCCCCAGCCCATGAAGTATCCCATGTGCCCTGCTGGGAAGTGTCCTGAATGTGAGTAACACAAGCATACAGCTGGCACCGCCTAATCAAATCGCCAGCGCAACTAACTGTGTTCAAGAAAACGTAAAGTGTCTCCTTGCACCCTTTGCCATCACCCTGGGCCTGCCAGGTCGCTTATTGAAGCATAAGAACAGAACACGGCCTAAACAGAATGAGATCACAGCACTGTACAAAAAAGCTCACTCCTTGTTCGCAGCAATGGCCACTGATCCCCGCTTCTTGATCTTCGGGGGCTGCGTAGGGTGCGCCGGCTTCAGGCTCGCGGGGCGCTTGGGCGTCGCCTTGACCTTCACATTCTTGGTCGTGGCCTTGTCGTCTTGTGGCCTTCTTCGCCTTCTTGGGCGCAGGCTCATCACTCTCCCCCTCCCCTTGGCTTTGTCAGCCTTGGGACGCGTCATCACGAGCGCTGCCATCGCCATCTCCCGCTCCAGCTCCTGCTCGATCCTTTGGCCCTCAGCCGGATCAACTGCATCGCCGCCCACCTCCCGTTGAAAGCAGCGCTGGAGCCGGTTTGCTGCCGGCAGCAGGGAAAAGGCGTCGAACGCCATGGCATCGGGCCATTGCACCATGAGGCTGGTCATGCGTGAAACCAACCTGTGGCAAGTGTCGACATGCATGTTCTCATGCAGACGTGCACACCATGCGCTGCAAAACAATTGAGCCGGTCGAGCCAAACAAAGCACGCAGGTTGCAGGATAGCAACAGGCCGACCAAGTTCAGACTGGAACCTATATATATATGACAAGGCTTCCAAGGGCAAAAGTCTGCATATATAAAGACATGTCAGAGGAAACATCCTGTAATCAGAATTCTTGAAAGCAAATATATATATATATATACATGTACACGTAGTTTCCAAGCACATGAGTACTGGGAATACATATCTGGGAATGATATGTTTGAAGACACATCCTGGCATATATGCATTATACCATCAGTTTGTATATATAATATATATATGCTTAGGTTCGTTCTAAGGATTTATTTGCTGGTAATACATGTCCATGGAAACATGCAGGAGACACACACATGTATATATACATATGTGTGTGTAGACTTATATGTATATAAAATATTTACATGATACATATTCCTATTTTGCCGCTCTTGACATTCAAAGCGGCCGGGTGTGTGTGCCACCCTCTGTTTCTAAGAGTTTTCTGCAAGCAGGGGCCCACCAGGGTCCCAAAGGAGCGGTGGCCAACGAAGACCTCCTCTGGGACCCGTGTAAACGTACCTGCATTTTTTTAAAAAACGTTTAAACAGCCGTTTCGTGAGCTGCAGATGTGCACAAACCATTTGTTGAAACACCTTCAAGTATTTGGACGCTTCACCTTTCCGTTGAGCCACTATTTTCCTCGGGGAATAGATGTAACTGCAAACTCATTATCTCTAAGTGTGTGCCGCTGTGTCGTCCCACTTGGGTGCACAGTGTGATCCCCCGCAAGGGGGGCGCTGAGACCACTCCGGATTGCCACCTTACTGAATTTGCGTTTCCTGCACGCTTTGGATTATCGTACTGGAATCACACGTTTCACCCAATGAATTTCCTGACTTATATGCTGCCGAGCTACGGAGAATGAACCCCCGCCGAGTTTTCTAACCCAACCCCCCCCACCCCCCTCTAATTAGGGTAACAGAGGGAAATGGTACTCGACACACTTGTGTCGGTGCCTTTCCCTCTGTTGTCCCTGTTCTAGTCTACTCTACCCGGGCGGCTTAAGACTGAAGTCCCGCTCCCTAAGTATTGCACCTAATTAGCTTCCGCTAAGTAATCAGTAACTCTAGAGTGCTAGGTATTCAAACACACACCAGGACTCACACATGTACATACATCTCCTCCCTGCCCACCACTTTATTTTTTACGTTTTTCGTCGTTTCTTGAGCTTTCTTTCTTTATTGGTAACAGCAAGGGTGAGCACCTGCCAGCACAAGGCAACAAACCAAAGAACATCAGCACAAGCTTCAAACATTCGAAGACCCAAACACACGGTGGCTCCAATGCTGGGCAGCACTCATGATCCGGACCCCGTCCCAAGCGGCCTCCTTCCCAGTCACTACACTCGGTCGGCTTTCTTTTTCTCAGTCAAAGACTGGAAGATATGGGGGGAACACGCCAGGTGATCTGTTCCACAGACCACCATGGCCTGATCTGTTCCACAGACCACCATGGCCCAAGCATGCCTAACATGATGGGGACCATAAACACCCCCCCGGTTTAGGGAGGAGGGCGGGTCAAAAACCAATCAACCGCAGTGCCATGAACTGACAAACAGCTCACCTCACATCTGAGCACACTGCGGCTAACTAACACCAGGTCAACATGACCCCAGGGTTTAAGCAACCCAATCAGAGGGAACCCAACAAGACCCAGGTTAGAGGGCCTACAGGCCCCACAAGCCTAAGCAGCTGACGCTAAACCCTACCCGAACATCATCAGGCCACGGGACCGCTCTCACCCTGAGCGTCTTCAATAATGCAACATCAAACAAGTTGAGGTAAGCTTATTGGTAACAGCAAGGGTGAGCACCTGCCAGCACAAGGCAACAAACCCAAGAACATCAGCACAAGCTTCAAACGTTCGAAGACCCAAACACACGGTGGCTCCAATGCTGGGCAGCACTCGTGATCCGGACCCCGTCCCAAGCGGCCTCCTTCCCAGTCACTACACTC